TGTTAATTAAAAACAGAAATAATTATTTAATTATTAAAATTTTTTTTGCTGCAATCTTTATTTTTTTAAATCTGTTGCACTATTTCTACTAAGTTTTGATTCTATAAGAGGAAAAAAAAGCACTTATATATTAATTAGAATTAATATGTAAAATCTTTTCTGCGGCGAAATTACACATGCGACAGCATTTTTTTCGAATGTCTGGCGATATTGCAAGAAAAACTATTGACTTTTATTTAAAAATTGAAACTGAAATAAAATTCTTTAATTTTCTTTATAAAATACAGAATGCCAAAGACGCGAGCTATAGCAATCAAATTTTTTTTATCATTTATTTTTATTAATATGTATTTTATATATGTGATAATTATATTAATATCGTGCAATAAAAAATAATTTTATTGCACGATATTAATATACCCACGAAAAAAATCGATTTTATCAGTATAATGTAATATAAAAGAGTCGAAATCTAACATAAAAATACGTTCATTTGCATTTTTTTATGCACATGTGAAACATATAAATTACTTACCTGCGGTAGATGAAATTTTTCGATTATCTAAGAATCATACGTTTTCTTGTAAAACTGATCGCTGAATCTGAAAATGATAAAATTAAAACCATTGAAGAAGAGCAAAATAATAAAAAAAATGCATTTATAGTAAAAAATCATTCAATTTTCCAATTTTTTAAACACGTTCTGTCGATTAAATAATTGATAATTTATGTATTAAACTGTGCGAGTTGATGATTTACGTGTTACAGTCATTCTCTTTGTGAAATAAAATATTAGATGGGAAAAAGTTCGTGGCGTTTTTTTAATGTCATCTAACGGGAAAAGCGCCACGAACTTTTTCCCATACCTAATATATTGCATAATGATTAAAAAATACAAAAATATTATTATAAAAAAAAGATCTACAAAATGCAACGCTGAATAAAACAAAAAAATATATTTTTATTAAATATTTTTAAAAATATAACTAACAACTAACTTTTAATAAAATTAAATAGACATGATTAATGCATGATTTTGTATAAAAGCGGATTAATAATCAAAAGGTCTCGACCTTCATTTCATATGCTATGATTTATTTACATCATGCATTTAAAAAGGATTACTTTCATTTGAGAAGTAACTTTTATTTGACACAATAAATTTATATAATATAAAATTGTATCCTATTTTTAGGAACAAATTTAGAAATAAATTAATACGTACAATAAGTGCAAAAACTATTTGTTTAGGAAAAATATGTTTTTACAAAATCTTATTTTTTAAGAATAACCATTAACCAGCGAGAAACTGACTTATTGAATTAATATCGACATCAATTCGATATATAATTGATGGTTATTTGTTGTTAGATAATTAGCAATTTATTCATAAATAATAAAATAAATCGTATATTTCTCAAACATATACATATACCAAAAAGATGTGTAACAATTAAATAAAATATATTATCTTAAAAATAAGTAAAAATTAAAATAATGTTATTTGGATGCAAAAAGTATATAGTTGAAAAATTTAATTTTTAAGATCAAGAACACACGTATGTGAAACTCATTTATATTAGAATATATTTATTGTATAAAATTGCTGATTAATTTATTTTCTACAAATATATAAGGCTTTTTTTATAAAAAATTTCCCGAATATTTTTTGCACTTTTGCAATGTATATACAAATCGAAATGGGATAATAATGAGATTATCAAAAAAAGAAGCCAACCTCATAATCAGGACATGTATAATGACCCTACATTTCGAAGAATCATTGTGCATGGCAACTTGATCTTTCAAAGTTTTATAAAGTTCTTGCAATTTTCTTTCTGACTTCCTTTTCCATCGAACAATATCGAAATGTCGTGCATCCTCTCGCTGTACCTCCAATTGGACGTAATATTGTAAAATCGCCAATACCTCTTCGCTAGTGGCTTTAAATGACATCGCTTCTTTTTTGAAATCCATCGATTATTCGGCTGGATTAAACATTGTCTCAAATTAAATAGACATTTCATATAATAGATATTTAGGTTAATAATTATGTAATTAATAAACATTTTATAATTAAATTATTGACATATATCGATGTTTTGTATTGATGTATTGAAACAGAACATAAAGTTTGTTAGGACAGTCGCTACAAAATATTGCAATTGTACAATTTCTTACTTCGTTTATATCTAGCATGTTAATAATTTTTAATTAATAATTTAATTAATAATTTTTCTATAATTTTCTATAATATATAAAGCATGAAATTAAAAATTACAGATAAGTATTTGATATTGTAAAACTGATCGCCAGAGACTGAGAATCATATAAGTTATCGGTGATCAATGGTATTAATATTATATACGTCATAATAATATATATATTCATGCATATTTAAAAGTATAATATTATGATTGTACGTGTTTTTATACAAAATATCTTGCGATCTAAACGGAAAGTTTAGCGTGAATCACGCGACACGGAACATGTTAAAAAGTAATTATCACCTCTTTTTCACTAATTCATAAAGAAAATCATAGGAAGGCCAAAAAAAAAGAAATTTGAATCATTTTTTTTAATCTTTTTTACAATTTTGTTCTCTTCCAATGGTTTTAATTTTATCATTTTCGGATTTAACAACTAATTTTACATATAAATATATTATTTCAGTTTGCACCACAGCTCAAAGCGACTTCTAATCTTCAAATATACATAAAATATACATAAATAATTTCATTCATTTTACAGTACAGATTTCACAGTACAAATTTCTATATTAAATTTTATTTCTATATACTTTCACAGATATATCGAGTTTTTAGTGTATGAAGAATTATTTTTATTACGGTGTTATCAATATAATTATTACATGTGTTTGTGAAAATCGGCGTGATAAGAAAGAGGAAAAATTCGTCACTATTAGGATATTCTGTATTTTATAGAGAATCAATGGATTTCTACCTCGGTTTTTACGATATCATTTCAATTTCTATGTACAATTTAAACAAAAGCCCGTAGTTTTTCCTGCAATATCACGCCGGACGTGTTCGTTCCTGTGGTCGCATATACATATGTATAATTGGTAAACATATCCTGGCTTCTTTATTGTGGGAACCATCGTCGTCACGCACCGTGTCGGCACACACTTAAAATGTAACGTTTCATAGGCACAGCGTGTGTTTAATGAAACAACTCGTTCCTTTCTCGAGTTGAGAACTACGTTACGTTAATGCCATACACGAATCTTTGCACTTCTGCAAAAAGTTGATCGGTATTGAAATAAAATCAGCTATCTAACATGAAACTGTTATAGAAGTCGCACTTACATCGCAATAATAATAAAGCAATTACATGATAAATAACAATTCGCAGTTATGAATAAATATAATAATTGAGAAAAATATCATTTTGAAGCTAATAAGAAATTAAATTGTTTCGAAAATAAAACTCGACTATTGCAGCAAAATTGAAATGTCAATCGAAACTACAGTTTTGTATTACAGACCACTCCATTCAATGTTGAATTTTAATCGGGGATCGTTCGATGAATTTAAAATCGATTTCCTTCTAGTCCTTCTAGGATCGACGATATCTCCGGATTTAGCTTGAAAGATTCGAAATTGGGACATCCCATCCTTTGCTATGGTTTCGACGCGATATCGTGACTTTCTCTAAAGCGATTATCGTGACTGCAGAAATTGTCTACAGCCACGTGATGACCGCGTGATGAAGGTGCGAAATAACGTGCGCCTTTGAAAAATTCTTCTCCTTCCTTCCTTCTCTCGACAGGCCGGTCACGAGCAACTGGCACTAACAACAATTACAAATGCCCAGCTCGTAGTTTTGCGGGAGCACGAGGGGAATACAGAGAGAGAGAGTCGTACAACAGCTAGACGACATTCGCATTCGCGCGTCGCGATTGCGGGACTAGCGAATGTCGCTTACCTCTTTATGGATCCCGGGTGTTTGTCCGGGTCCTCATACCGGGTACTCATACAGAACACTCGGCCCATTGTAAAGGGCCCAACGGTTGTAAATTCCATGGTCGACGATATCTATATAGATTCTTCCTATTCGAGAACGTGGGAGAGGAGTGATTTCGGGGACGTACTGCTTTATTCGATGTGAAAGAATCGACGCTCAAGTATAATTATCTCAATGTATAAATTACCGTCGAATCGCACTGCTGCTAAAGATGTTAACATTTATCCCAAACTCGAATCTTCCTTTTTTTCCCGTCCGGCCGCGTCTTTGTTATTCCGATAAGTCGATGCGTTCGCGACGAGACATCCCAGGACACGTCGGGTGTAACAGTATTCGAGGTCTCAGTGCTTTATTTCCGCTGAAGCGTAAAGGAACGCATAAAGGGAAGATCGCTGGAGTTGATATGGCGAGGAGCTTAACTCCGGTAACCTAGCTTTATGATGTCGGATAAAACTCATACAGCTAGATAACCAAAGAGAATGTCCGCGCCAAGATCCTCTTGAACGCAACGGCGAGATCTCCTTCGAAATCGATGACTTGACCTTTCGATAAGACAGCCAGAGTAAGGTTGATTGTTATATTATCAGACTTTAAATATCGTGCTAAATTCCTTTACATTCCTACAAAATGCTCCAAACATTAATTTAGGAATAATAAAAATATTATATTGTAGAAAGAATATTAGTATTAT